CTTACAGAAACCTGGCGTCAAATCGTGCTGTGCGGTTCGTGGCAGCTTGTTGGAGGTGGTTAGGGAACAGGTGCAGGTCTGAAAAGCTGCTCTGCTGCAGGAGCCAGAACCAGTACCTTGTCTGTCCTACTGCTTGTGGCATGACCGGGTGACTTCCTCATGCTCCGGGCCCTCGAGGTCGTGTTAGTTTAGAATTAACAGCAATTGATTAGTCACACCTGCGCTGGTTGCTTGGTGCCACGTTTCTGTAGCCCACAGGGTGAGCAAAGTTGAGTGGTTTTGAGAGGGGTAAACTAGGTGTGAAAGCAAGCTTGAATGTAATAGAAAACGCAAGACTTTGCAGCACGAGTTAAAGCTGAATATTTCTTCTGGTACTAGTCTTGGAGCGCTAGTAGTGCTGTGTAACCACACCCTCATTTCTAATGAGAATTTTTTCTTTTTTTCTAGCTAAAAGAAGAGAATGCCAGTTTGAGAAGCAAGATCAATAAGCTTCAGATTTTCTCTGAAACTCAAGCAGACAAGTGCGTAAGCCACAGTATGGGGGAAAGTAACCACGTAAGCAAGGAGTTGTCTTAGAAGAGGTGCTCACTGGAAACAGTCAACGTCTTTAAAGAAGAAAAATGTAGTTGAAATCTATGCTATTTATTAAAAAGCTTTAGCAAACCTGATTTTCTTATTGAAAAAAGGCTCGGAAAGTAAGTAGCAAGCTGACATCTGATGAGTGTGTTTGTGTGGCTTATGCTTCATGCAGTTAAGGTGGTTAGTGAAAACGAGGGTAGGGCTTGACAGGATGCATTTCATAAAGCATCAGATTAACAAAACAATGAATCTTAATCTCTCTCCCTTTTGAAGCAAGAAAAGCATCTTTATTTTTACTGGTGAGCCGCCTGATGTTGGGAGACTTGAATTTACTGAAATTAAATAACCTGATCACCAACCTAGAGTGGTAATTTCTCACGTTCCCATCTGAATCCCCTGCACTCTGCTGTTCCACAGTGAGGCAGCTTGTACTTTCATGGTGATGGGGTAACCGTTTGTTGCAGAATTACCCTTATCTAGACGGATGGTGAACCGTTGTCTTTTCTGCACAGCCCTTCTGCATTCAGCTCTATAGTGCCCATGAATGCTAATGGACGTTGAACAGAGAAAAACCCCCGGAGCCACAGCCTCGAAGTGTAGTTCTGGGGGAAGGCTTCATTTTACTTCAGACATGAAAAAATGAGTTTCTTGATCCTTCCCTAGAATTTTCTTAGTAAGGTGTTTAATGTTAGCAAGTGCTTACTGAACCTTGTCTCCTGTTTATCTAAGGATGAGGAAGCTTGAAAAAAAACTGGAGGAAAACAAAATTAAAGAGGAAAAAGAAGCGCAGGATTTGGAAGCAATGGTGCAGCACGTGGAACAAAATCTCCAGCTGATGACTGTAAGTTTTGGGCTTTTCCATAGTAGCAAAAGCTTGTTGGCAGCTGGAGCTGTGGGTTGTTTTTTTTTCTTTCACCCCTAGAAGGGTGAGAGAAGCTGAAGTGATTGTTTCACCCAGGTAAGCGCTAAACAGCTCTGATGTGGGTTCAGAATCTTCCCTTACAACAAGAACTGCATCCCGGTCTAAAACTCCTTTTGTTACCTAGAATAGGGGAGTTTTTTTGCATTAATACCAGCAGCAACTTTGTCTGCCTGCAACTTCAGTTGCTTTCTTGCAGCCTCCTGAAAGCACCTCCTGTATGAATTGAGAGCTGTTTCCCCTGCTTGCTTATTTATATTGAGTATCTCTTGTCCATGAAAGAAATTTAATGTCTGGAGGTGATGGGCAGCACCTGAAGATACCAGAAAGGAGAAACGAGGAGGAGAAGGCTGATGAGACGTGCCTGGGGGGCACCATCCCCACCTCGTAAAGCGTTCAGAACACCAGGTGGTGCAGCACAAACCCTACCACTTCAAGTCGTGTCCTGGAATCACTTGTTCCTGCATAGCTCAAACTGCCTGCTGTGTCCTGGGCGCTGCTTTGGTATAAATAATATTCACTCTGTTTCAGAAACGGGCTGTCAAAGCGGAAAACAGCGCTTCAAAACTGAAACAGGAAAATGCTCTACTTCAGGTAAGAAGCAATATTTTTAAGGCCTTGCTGGATCTGCTGGGAACATACATCTGAAATTTAGCGTATATGAGGGATATTGAAAAGCTTTGTCCACATCTCGCTTTTCCTACTGATTGTTTTAGAAGATGTTCTGCACTAGAACATCCCAGCTCTACGCAGTGTTACCTTCATCCCTGGAAAGACGTTCCCTCCAGGCAGCCTGGTTATAAGCTTTATTCATTAGTTATTGTACCTAATGAATTGCTGTACGAACATGTTCATTAGTTGCTTTATTTGTGAAGTATCTGCTGGAGTTTTATGGGCTTCTTCACACAAAGTTTTTGTTTGCTTCCTCCCTAGGTTCAGCTGAAGAATTACAAGATGGAGAACGAAGCCCTGAAGTCTGGCCAGTCGGCGAGTCTGGCCGTGGTGAAGCGAAACGCAGACCTTGCCTTGCAGAACCTCCTCACGGTCATAACCAACTCCCAGGCTTCCATCAAGTGAGTGGTTTTAACTCTGCTCACGCTATCCCAGACACTTGTCCAAATACCGAGGTCACAATTAAATGTCTCCAGTGGTTATTTTTAGAATTGAAACTCAGTTTCTTGTATTCTGCAGGCCGTGTTCTTACCTGCCATGTATTTTCCTCCAGGTTTAAATAACTAGAATGTTTGTCGTATTTCTTAATGTAAAATCATTATACTGAGAGTCTAAGACCCTTATACTTCAATAAGTGAAGTTTTCAGCTAAACTGCTCTTTGAAAAATCACACTGCATGGGTAAGCACCACCAAAATGCTGCTGGGCTCCAACACCACCTTCTCAGCCTAACGCCGCGTCTCTCCTGCATTCCAGGCAGCTGGTCACTGGAGCAGAATCGCTGCAGCTTGTCGCTGATCTCCTTAAATCGATAGACAGAATTTCCGAAATGTCAGAAGATGGACAGTGACTGGGACGAAAGAGAGAACTTTGCTTTCGTGTAGAAACCATTCCTTGGAAGTGACTTTCTGATGCTCAGCCTCCGTATGATGTGTGAAGCTGTTGGCGCTGCGGCAGAACCATCCTCTCTGTTGCTA